TGAATACGTTCACTCCCTAAGTTAAAGGTCATTCTGTTTTAACTGTTTCATCATGTATTTCGTTTATCTCTTTTCGTTCCCTTTTTATGTGTCATCATACATATGATCTCTGTCTCTTTGTCCATTTCATCATACATATCAGAGATGGGCGATGGACGAGGATCCTCGCGGGGAAGAAGTTTTGAAAGCTTGACGAGGCACGGGGCGATGACGAGGCAATAACTGCACGAGGCGAACCCCGCGGGGGACATTTTTTGCTTGTTAGCGAAAGACGAAATAGAGACGCTGGACGGAATTCTTTTAGTTCACTTGAAAAATATAAACGTATTTCTCTTTGTTAACTTGTTAATAAAGTATTCTGTTCAGCCTATCTATTTTCTCTCTTTTTTTCTTTTGTTTTCTACTGTCATTCTAGATGTTCTTTCGTTTTCTTGCGCATATGTATAAATATAGTGTTGGTCATCGGCAATTTGTTACTATTAATATCTAGTCCTTCGTCCTGTAATTATGGTGTCGACTGCGGCTACGTCATCACCGTCGTCCATCACATATGACATCAATAGTATTAAAATCTTTTTAAAGGAAGATAAACTGAAGTATACAATCATTGACAATATGAAAGTTAAAGAAAATACACCTTGTTGGAAGAAATTCTATTTTTATAATAAAGGTGATGGTTCTTCATGTGAATCAAAATAAAACAATGAATAGCTTGTGTTAGCAGAGACGATGGACGAGGCGGTGACGGGGCAGAAAGCAGACGGGGCGATCCCCGCGGAGCAGATTTCTCGAAACTTGACGAGGTACGGGGCGATGCCGAGGCGGGAAGTTTGCGAGGCGATCCTCGCGATGGAGCTAAAGATACTCCCTCGCCCATCTCTGGTGGGCATACAGCCAGACATTAGGCAGAAAATCGAAGTTTTTCCTTTTTCAGATAGAAATAGGACAAAATGTAGCTCTTTCAAAGGGCTGTCGAACGGTATATAAATGTCTATTGTGAAAATGGATCCTTCGACCAGAAAATAGTATACAAAAAACATGAACAAATACGACATCTATACACAAAATACGATTTTTCACTTTCACAGCTATGTTATGCAATTTTAAAGCACATATTCGGAATCAACATGTCTTCAGCTATCTTTTCATAATAAAATGTTGCTACTTTAACACAAACTTCACCAAGTAAGAGCTCAAGATTCTTGACCATCTCATCACGGAATGACACTATCTCAGTATAGCCGAGTTCCACATTTTTTCACGCCTCCAAAGTAACATCTAAATACACCAGAATGTTCCCCAGATCATACTGCATCACTCCGTTCTGCGCTTTTTCTTCTAAGTTGAGTTACAGATTTTCCAAAACTCACACAGATTTTTAGGTATTTAGACATTTTCTCCCTTATAAAAACACTTCTCGACAAAAATAATACCATATTCGGAATCAGCATAAAAAACCTGAAGGAACCTGAACGACTCGAAACATGTTTCTTATAGGTTTTCGACAATGCTCTTTCCAGTGGCATCATTTTTAAATATTGAGAAAGTTTTCTGAAGGGTTTTCCAGAGACTGGATCTCTGGAAAACTCCTTAAAAAAGCTTTTCAAAGCCCAACTCTCATGCCATTAGAAAGAGGATCATGAAAAACCTATAAAAAAATGGTTCATGAAATTTTAGTTCACTCATAAAGCTAAAGTCCGCCTGCTCTAGCAAAAAATGCCCACTGTGCGTATTTTGATAGGACTAACATTCTTTGTAAATTTGGTTAACATTGAACATTTTCCTCTCGAAAATAAGTTTTTTAGTTGGAGGGGATCCTTAACTTTTATCCTACTGCTTTTATGTGTGTTCTGGGAACGTCCTGCTTAGTATGTTGATACATACAGGGGCAGCAAAAAAATTTCCGTACATTTCAATTCTCTTTTTCGTTTGATCATAACTCACCAACATCTCGTCCACTCTCTAGTATATTTGTAGATAAAAAGTTAGAAATATTTGCTGTGTCAAGGCAAAAATGCCTTTGTTTTTGTCACTCAAGTGTTTAGTGAGTGAAATGCTTCCAGGCGTTATCTTTAGATGAAAGGGTCAAAAAGTAGGTCTTGCTATTTATAAGATTTCTTTTCTGGTTTAAGCTCTAGAAATCTCAAGTTAGTCTTAAATTAAAGAGAAAGCTCAGCACTATGGCATAACAGAGTCCAAGTTTTTGATTTTCATTTAGTCTTTGAAATAAGAAAGGTATTCCGTAAAACTAGTCCATAGTTTTTCAGGTTTTCGAATTAAGCCATTAGAGAAACAATAAGAAACAAAAGTTTTAAAAATCACACTCTGTTGTACCACAGCGCCGAGTTTTTGGTTTAATTTAAGATTAATCCGAGATTTCTAGAGCTGGAGAAGAAATTTTGTAAATCCCTAGTGGAACTTCTTGTACCCAAGATCTTGGCCAAGATCTTGAGTTAAGAAATGTCACAAGATCTTGGAAAAAACACCAAGAAGTCAAGATCTTGGCCAAGATCTTGGGTTAAGAAATTTCAAGATCTTGAGTGAAGCCACTCAAGATGTTGCAAGAGCAAGAATGACAAATTTTCTTTACATCTTTACATTTTGTTTTTATTTATGACAGTCGTAGCCACTGGATATACGACGATATAGAATCATAGATTCTTCCTTAAACAACTATGGTCACGAAGCAAAAAAAATCGAACTTATTCTAAGTGTGAAAATATTCGCACTTATATTTACACTAGAATGTAAAACAAAACGATGATTCAAGAATTTCCAAGATCTTGGTACAAGAAGTCAAGAAATTATAAGATGTTCAAGATCTTGACTTCTTGAAATTTCTTGAATTCTTATATTTTCTTACCAAGATCTTGAATCAAGATCTTACTGAAAAAATTCAAGAAGTCAAGATCTTGGTTACAAGAAGTTTCACTAGGGAATGGCGGAGATAGGTTTAAGTTAAAAAGGAGCGTTTGAGACAAAAATGGAAAAAATGATCCGGCTACTTTCAGAGCCTTTAGAAAAAATCTCCCCAAAACCAACATAAAACAAAAAATCTATAGTGCATTCGAAAGCAGATACTTTCGACTATTCAACTATGTGTAAATCTCAGAATCAACTTTTTAGAGGAAGGGGGAGGACATTTAACTACTAGTGTCACTGTTTCTGTAGAATATGAAAGATCGTTAATTTTGCAATAGACGGTTACACTGTTTTAGTAAAGGGCATAACATAGAAACAGAATTTGGATGGAAATTTTTCTTGGCTGACGACGGTCAAAAGAATCAGTCAATTCATGAGTGTTAAAAATTGAATGATAATTGACTGTGCGATAATGAACGACCACAGGAATATTGCTACCTATTTTGTAGTGCAGTCATAATTAGATTTTTGCATTGATGTTTTCACAAAGAAGAAAAACTCCATTTTTAAATTGAGACTGAGGAGATGTGTACTAATTGTTTCCTTGCTGATTCTGCACAAAGTTTATGAGATTGAACATGCAGATCATCTGTTCTGACGCAATCACTTCATATTCAAGATTCTCAGTCACAATGATACTAGCGAGGATTGATTTTGAATTTTAGAATATCAGCTTTTTATTCTATTACATCGATATTCTAATTCAAAGTGAATAGCAGCTAATTGTATACAAGACGAATAAATGTCACCTGTACATTTTCTAATTCAAACTTTTTCTTCATTGAAAAAAAGCAATGGATTGCAAAAAAAATTGTTCAGACGTCATCATTCAATGCTTATCTGAAGGATAGTACAAAATTGGATTTTCCATTACGAATTCTATTAAGCGTTATTTGTATCAGGAGAATTTATCGGACATGAACCCATTGTTTTCACAACAGAACGACACATAAGCAGAACTACAAATTTTCGCTGTAATACGCCACAAATTGTATCGCTTATATGGTGATTACGCTCTCTTTCTATTACGGATAGACTTTCATCCGTGTTTTTTGGATAATTTCACGTGTTTGTTATTTGATATTTTTCTGAATTTAGACAATACAGAAAAGTATGTATTTGATAGAGAACATTTATTGTCATGGAATACCGGTCTTTGCTTAAAATATTCACAATGAATCATTTGTGTAGATGCTGATGTGTTAATAATTATTATTATTTTTGTTGTGAGTATGAAAGACGCAAAAGACTGACTACCATAACATTATTGATAATTATGTATAATTTTTCTAAAGTAACTGCACCTATCTCATATGTTAATGAAGTAATAAATTCGAAAAAGAAATGTATTGAGAGTTTAGTCATTGAAAATATCTATTTGTACACTATAAGCTTTTATGCAGTAGTTTGGCATTTGTGGCTTTCATCTGATGAGGGTCTATGTTTTAATAGTTGTTCGACATATTTTAGATAGAAACAAGACATCTCTGTATTCGTAGAATCATTCTATATCATGCTACTCGTCTCCCTTAACTCCACTATTTGACATATGAAAGAAGAGCAACGGGTAATATCGATTAATTTGGTGAAGTGGTGATACATACAGTTATTTGATTTCTGTGGTTTATACTATTTATTTCCTCCATATTTCATTTAATTCAGTTCATAAATTTTCTTTAGTCTCACAATAGCATAAGTTACTTATAAAACTTACTTGTTCATAATCCAAATATCTTTCAATATTAATAATCATTTTATTCCTTGAGATAGATAATAAGAGTTCAATATCATTGTCGTTTATACCGAATTTATTGGCAGATGCGTAGATACGTAGCCGAATATATTTCAACGGCTTCGTAACGATACATCTCAATAATGAAACGGTGTTTCATTCTACTTACCATATCGTGCCACATCGAGACTGTGCACTAAACTAAAACTAGATGTTCTAACTTCAAACAAAAATGTTTTATATCTTCTTACTCTTTTGACTTGCCTCTTTTTTTCTTTATTTATTTTTCTGAACTTTGTTTAACTAAAAAAAAATAGAGTCGTTGATTTTAGAATTTTTTTCAATAAAAGATCGTTTTCTTAACCAAAAACAAGTACAAAACTAATATACATATTGCACAACATTTTTTTTTCTCGTCTTTTAAATCTAGAAAGAAGAAAATGCTCTCTATTTTGTAGACATGTTCACAGTTGCATCAAAGTCGACTCGACAATCTTTTGATCAACGCTTTCATCTATTATGAAGGATATAAATCGTATACCAAGGTTTAAAAGACAAGGATTTTAATTGGGTTACATTTCATTATTATATATTTTGGAATTGAGAAACAGAAAAAGCATTCTTTCTACTCTTTGCACATCCACAAGATTTCTGTACTTCATGCTCAAGATAAAGTAGCGTTTTTTACTACATATTATGTCACTATGTAGTGTTAACCTGAATAACAGATGTTGTTAGAAATTTAATGCTTTTTGTATGATTACTGGCGAATTTGCACTAACAAAAACTTCTTAGTCAGGAATGATAAAGTTGAACAAAAGTTTGTGCACCTTATTGCTACTAGTGGCGGCGCCAGGGGTGGGCTAGGGTGGGCTGAGCCCACCCGAAAGGAAGTTAAGCCCACCCTGAAAATTTTTCAATGTATTCGAAATGAGCTTAATGTTTTTTCTGCTGTTCCCAAAATGGCAAAATCCTAGCGCCGCCACTAATTGCTACGTGAGTAGACTCCGTAGTAGTAGAAATAGATATCATCCTTTTATAAGGGTTAAACAATACTCTAGATAAGGACAAATCATCTAAGTTTTGCTCTGATTTTCTTCAGTTTGACACTACTTGAGTATTTTATTTCTCACTTTACTCATGATTCGATAAAACCTTTGAGCACCATGGCACAAGACAAAATTTTAACAATTACTCGTATGATACATGTATGCTCGTTACTCGATAATTTCAAGAATATAGCTGAGATTT